TACATAAAACAGATTGAATACATCTTATATATATATATATATATATATATATATATATATATATATAATGCTTTACTTTAATTAAGCTATTTGTCTTTGCTTTCAGAAGTTAGCTTACAGATATTTTTGGTCACTTTTTCCGTTGCTATGTTCAGAAACACCTTATTAATAGCATTAAGTAATGCTATTATTTAGTTTTATAGTCCCTCGTTGGTCATAGTTTTGTATATTGGTGAAAGCCCTTGTAGTATTATCTCGTATCATTTTATTGCACACTCTCCATACTTTTCCAGCCCCACCTAATTCGCTCGATCTTTGACTGATTAAATAATTGTTGAGCTTGCTTCCTTTAAGTAAGTAAGCTCAACAATTATGAAACAAGAGAATCTTCGAAACCCTACTTTTCTTCGCATGATTGAACAATGTCGATTTGGCGTCCACTTTAATTCATCCCACTATCTGGAGTTTTCTATGTTTGTATTCTGTGTCGCCCTTCCATTGGTATTCCAAATACTCACCACGGGTCCTCTTCCCTAGCTCAAGCTCTACTCGAGTTGCACATATTATCATCTTTATAATTATATTCGTATAAGAGTAGGGTTTCGAGACATCTCATTTTATAATTATAGTCACAGATTAATCACACACTCCAATTTGATTTTCGTTCTAAGTTTCTGCTCCGACTCGATCATTATGCCATCTTTTGTCTTACAAACACTTTTATGGGGCAACAGATATTTTTGGGACTACTCATTTTCTATTTCCTTGCCTTGCATACACAGACACTGAGCCAACGCCAACTTCCTCTAACAAGAGAGCTTTCTACAAGCCGCCCAATAAATAAACTGAATAGTACTCCCGAAGATATAAAGACCAAGATGGCCGAAAGTCTCATTATGCTCATTATGCTCATTATCTTCATCATTATTTTAATATCTCGGTTAATTTTTTTTCCCTGACCTACACATTATCGATGTGCTTAGGAGACCTAGGCATGTGTAACAAGTAATAATTAAATTGTGTCAATCAAGCTTTCTCTATTTCATACTGGCCACCTGACCCAGCAGTATTCAAGACATCACACGATAAACGGCGTCAATTTAGCATTATTTGACTTTAATTAACCTCAGTATTCGCCACGTTTTTGTATCACTCTTTGTCCTTATCTTTTTCTCTACCTGTCTGCTGCCAGGGCAAAGCCGTCGGGCCAGTCTGGATAATACATGGTTGTCGTTCGGCCGCTACCAGCCTCCTTTTTCCCGAGGATCTGGCCTCTGCCCTCAGGATTGGTGTGCTTACTCACTTATGCCTTGCCTTTTCGCGCTCTTCGTTTACGACTGTTCCCCATTTCTGTAAGGACTCCCATCCTTCCGATCAGCACTTAAATGTCGGTTGCCTAGCCAGCAATATTCATTCGGATAACTTGGATCATGCGGCTAAAAGCAGAGGATTGGCGTCTTCCTTTCAGCTTGGCCATAAGCTCCCAGTCTGGCGAGCAGCATGCGCTTCATCCTCCAGCTCTGTTCACGGTCTCTCTGACACACTGCTTGAGCTGGCCTGTTTTCCACCTGCAGCTCGTTACGTCCAGCACTGCATCCTGCCAAATTCATACAAGACCGAAGACTGCAACCCGATTGGGAATACGGCAGAGTGAGTTAGAGGATCCTCCTCCATTTTTGGATCATCTTATTGTTTCGGTGCTATTTCGATGTTTATTTCGCCAATTAATTTGACCTAGATCTTATACCGTAGATCAAACTAGATAAAATTAAATTTATGCCGAGAATGAATTGTCACACCAGGCCATAACCTATTCATTTGTTTTTTTGGTTTTACATTTTATTTTTTTCATCCACTAAGAGTAGTTAAATCACTTTTTGATCTGATTTTAACCAGTCAGGTTAAGCATACATAACATTATAAGCCAATTATCTTGATTTTTCGCCTTCAGGCTCAGATATACTGAATCGGTGCTGCAGCGAAACATTATTCGGCCCTTTTATCTTAAGCAATACTTAATATATCATGATGATATAGAATTTAACTTCTTCCGTTACCTACTTTATCATAGTGGTTCTAGTAAGCCTTCTTATGACCAATGGTATAGATCATCGAATGAATAAAAGGTCCCACTATAAAGGTGACCTGAAAGTGGTCTGGCTTTTCTTGAAAACCGCATCTGCCCTATGACCTACTAGTGCCTGAGCTATGACGGAGTA